TAATTTGCAAATATGATGGGAGGAACATCAAAAGACTATTAAAAGATCTATAACAAAAATAGAACATTATTATATGGGGACATAAGTGATTGTGAATTTTAGAGATGGAGATCATATGTACGATAGATATAAGAAATTACGGGGTTAGCCACTAAGGTTTCAAGTAAAGGAATATAAGGTACAAATCGAACATTATTGCATTAGGGTTTTAGTACGTGATATACTGTTTTTATATACATATTGTTCGCAATTCTTTTTTCCTAATATATATATTTCCTTTTTAATATTTTATTAATCCTAGTTGTAGTAGATTTCCTTAGCTAATAAATAGAAATACTTTTCCTAAATTTTCGTAAACTTAATAGTAACGTTTTTTAAGACTTTTAAATTAAGAAAATTTCTTAATCTAAAGTTGAAATAGGAAATCCACAAAAATTTGGAAACTACGAGCTATTTATTAGAGCTAATGATATAAGAAAATCATGTCTTATTTTTCAATTATTATCAACAAAAACAAAATTAACATAATTCTAAATATTTGACGTGGCGTGCTACTATAGGTGGATTTAGTCTAAGTCTTACATATTTTAATTGAGACACAAGGCTGAAAAAGGCTATGTTTGATTGTCTGTTCAGTTCAAGAGACTTTGAAATCAGAGGTGGTTTTGGTGTTGTTGTGCCGCCCACAACCTGAAACAATCATGGACACAATATCTCTTATGAATAAATAAAAAGCCATTAAAACATTAGCAAAAAACACTTTTTACTATTAATTCCAACTTTGTTTTACCTTTTTAAAGCTTCCAGGGCAAGAAGCCCAATAAACACAATAGTTACACTTGAACTTGTCTTCCTTGGCAACGAACTTAGCAGGTCGTTCACAATTCCACATCTCCATGACCACTGTTATATTGTCTTAATGTACCCTCTAGATCAAATATAGGATATCTGATACCTATAAATATAGGCTTGTTTGGGGTCGGTACCTGCAACTTGTACCTAAGACAGAGAAGAAAAAAAACAATTATGTAAATACTTATGATGTATTAAAAGAGATTTTTAGCTTTTGATAGAAATGTTTTTCTTACTTCATTATCAGATTAAAGGAGACTTTATCCATGGGGCGGAACATCGCTTTATAAATAAGCACCAAATCTTCAATGGTCACTGCTACGTGTCCAAGGCCTTCAAGTTCATCTATGATGTTTTGCGGTAGGAGTTGAGTACGCTTTAAGGAGAAGTGGGCGAAGAAGTAATCCACCGGGAACGGTACTTCTTGATTTACAAGAAAGTCGAAGATCACCTTGTAAAAGCTGATCTGAAAATTGTCTTTCGATTGTTGAGCCTCTGAGGGCGTGGAAAAAGATTGTCGAGTCTTTAACTCTCCCACTTCATTTACTCCTTTCCCATTCCCGAAGTTAACAAAGTCAATAATTCCTTTAACCCATTGACCTTCAATAGTTCCGATAAGATACTTATAAAGCCTATATCTTAAAGTTCTAAACCCTAAAAAATGTTT